TTTTTTTTTTTTAATGTGGGATCAGGATGCCTGGTTGGCTCAGTCGGTTGGGCGTCTGCCTTCAGCTCAGGTCATGATCCCAGGGCCCTGGGATTGAGTCCTGCGTTGGGCTTCTTGCTCAGCAGGGAGCCTGCTTCTCCCTCTGCCTGCAGCTCCCCCTGCTTGTGCTTGCTCTGTCTCTGTCTGACAAATAAATAAATAAAATCTTTTTTAAAAATGTGGAATCCATTAAGGAAAGGCCATGGTTTTGTTTTCTGATAGATTTGAATAGGACTTTCTCATCTGTGAAGTAAGTGTGACAGATTCTATTTACCTTAGTTTTAAAATGAAAAAAAGCTGAGGCATGGAAAGATTCTAAAGAAATCTAAGTAGTGGATGATAGAGTTGGAATTCAAGACAAGAGTTCAGACTTCCTGATAGAGCTTTGTCCTTTGACAAGACAGTCTTCTTGTTAGACTAGAGTCTCTCTTGATATTTTTCCAAGGAAGTTACTACTTCGCAGTTAGGAAAAGAGGTTTAATATAACCATCAACAGCAATACTAGAAACAGTTTATATCTTACTGATATGTGTTCTTGGTTTAATAGGGGAAAAAGGGCAATTTGTTAGAAACAAGGATCTGAAGATGTTTGTCAACTTAGTTACTATATTAATTTGTTATTTTGTACCTACTATATGGATTTTTTCCACTAAAGTGAAAATATGACTGGTGAGTTTACCAGGAATACCTCGGATCTCTAGCCTCTGCCAGGTTTAGTTAGGCTTCTGTGTTTTAGGGAGAAAGGGGTGCATGAAGTGGGAAAACTAGAGGGAGTCTTCACTAATCATCCTGAAACATTAACTTTACCTCTGCAAGTAATACCGTTTCAATACAGACGTGTGCTGATGGAAATCTAGATTAAATTTTGCTTATCTAGGAAAGAAGACCATCTTTTTATTCTGATGGACTAATATTCAATTCTAAAGAAAGGTACAAAAGGAAGTTATCAAACACACTTGCGACACAAGTATTTTGCATTGGATTGGGGCAGGGTGAGGATGACGTATCTTTTTTAAGGTTGTCACAGTTTCTGGGCTGAGTCAGAACTATAGGAGCAAATGGACAGAAACAAATCTGAGACTTGAAAAATAATCATGAAAATTTGGATTTTACCAGCCTTAGTTCTTATTCTTTCAGTTGAGGTAGTCTCCTTTTCATGTTTTTCAGGCAAAATTTTTTTTTAAAAGATTTTATTTATTTATTTGACAGAGAGAGACACAGCGAGAGAGGGAACGCAAGCAGGGGGAGCGGGAGAGGGAGAAGCAGGCTTCCCGCTGAGCAGGAAGCCCGATGTGGGACTCCATCTCAGGACACTGGGATCATGACCTGAGCTGAAGGTAGATGCTTAAAGACTGAGCCACCCAGGCGCCCCCAGGCAAAATTAATTGAATGTCATAATAGTAAGTATTCGTTCATCCATTCAGTCATTTAACAAATATTTAGCAAATTCCTACTATGTTCAAGGTGCTTCCATATGATGTAAAAGAAACAGTGATATTCTGACCTATGCTAACAGCATTAAAAAGCAGTCTCAAGTTTATTTTGGCAAAGCGGGAAAAGGAAAAGCAGAGTATAAGTACATAAAAGAATTATTATTAAATGCTTATACACAAAGTCTACGATGAAAATATATGATTCAGGACAGGGTAAAAGGGATAGGAAAGGTTTGGGTATATGTATGTTCAGAAGCTGATTCTGCCACTTATTTGCTATTTAATACTCTATTTCCTCATCTATAAATTGGGAATAAGGGCACCTACCTCATAACTACTTTGTGAAAGAATATGATGAAAATTGACAATTATGTATCTAAAGAGACTAGCAGGATTCTCAGCACATGGTAGCTGTCATCATTATCAATAACTCATATTTAATGTAACAGAGTCACACTTCTATAAATGCTTTCATGAACGTAGTTACTGATAAGATGTTCTAATATAGATAATGCGATGTATGTTTTTAGAGAAAGGGCTTCAGTAATTCCATATTAAAAACAGGAATATGGGAAGTAGATGAGGTGCCTGTCAGGCAATTTAACAATCAGAGTAGTATTTCTACAACTCGATAAAGAGTCCATAGATGTAAAAGATGTGTAAGTGACAACCCAAGTCTTTCTAATACAGAATGTAGAGATGAATTTCAAATATTTCCATTGCATCAAGATTAGAAAGACAATGGCCAGTAATTAAAAATTTCAGTCCCTGCATCCCTCCAAGCCCTGCTGTAGCCCCATACTAAGGGTCTGCTTAGATTTAACCTGTTAATTGAGGATACCTTTCTGGCTTTCGAAAACATTTTTGAACCTTCATCTTCGACCATTTCAACATTCTCTTCTACATGGTATATATTATACAATCGATATGGCCAAATCTCTCTTTAATATTTGCATAACAGTGGCCTAGGTTTTCTGTTTCGCTGTAAAGTTTTTATGAAATTTGCACTAATGTTTATTTCGGCAGTTTGATTTTGTGCCATTCCTCAATACCTAGATACAATAAAAACAACTTTAATTTGGCCTTCGTTTAATATTGCAAAGGTCCTGTATGAAAATAATTTCCGTATTGTGAAAAATGGATATATTCCGCGTTTTTTTGTTTGTTTTGTTTTTTAGTTTTAGGCTTCAATTTCCTAATTATGATTTTAAAAATACAGTATGCCCTATATACTAAGTTAAGGCGATCACAAATGAAAAACCTACATCCAGCTATTCAGAGTTGGAGAGAGAAGGCCTGCCAATGGGTTACTTTTCGCTAACACAGCACATTGTATTATTTTTCAAACAAAAGTTTTAAATCTGCTTATACCCAACCTCACAACGAGGGATGGGATGTTTTTCTCGGGTTTTCTGTTTGCTACATTTTGTGCGGGGAGACTCGTGGGCTGTTTCAGGGTTATTTTTACGACCGCCCCCTTCCCCTCGGTGCGACCTCCACCTGCACAACAGCTTGCCCCCGGGCGAGGAAGATACAGCAGAGGAGACCCCAAAATGCATTCTCGAGGACGCTCCCAAGCACTGTCAAACCAGTGAGCAAATTATTTTCCCCTCCGGGTTAACCTAGTCCCGTTAGCTCAAGCCTGGGTTTAGAGGAACAACTAAATTCAGAATGTGGAGCTGGAGGGGAATGCGTGGCAAAAACCCCTGGAAAAAAAAAAAAACAACGTTTCAAGGAATATGCTGCAACCCGCGAAGGAGTGGCTTTGCTCAAGCTGCTCTAAAGAGTTGCATTTTCCTTGCTCATCGAACTTGCTTCAGTTCCTAGGCAAGCGCCTGCCTTTTCGGTGGCGTGACCAAAGAGTCAAAGGCGATGGCCAAGGGGAGCGAGTTCCCGCAATGGAACTTGACGCGGACCCCGGGGTCTCAGTTGGGGGCCCATCACAGTTTTGGGTGCTTGGGCTGCGACTGGCTTCTTTTTGGCGGGAGGGTAGATGGTGAGGGGGAGGATAGAGGAAAACTACCAAGGGCTTTCCTGGGCTTGCAGCGTCTCGTCGCCCGCCGCCGCTCACACTGCCTTCCGGCGGCGCCCCCAGCTCGGGCCCCGCACGCGGCAGCGGTCATAGGGCGTGCTTGCGGCGACCGCAGGGCACGCGGGCCAGCCGGGGCGGGGGCGGGGCGGTGGCGGCGGTTGCGGGGCATGCGCGGCTCCGCGCGCGGCTTCTCAAACATGGCGGCGGCGGTGTGAAGACCGGTACCGGCTCGCGGGACCAGTGTGACAATTTCGCTCCTTTCGCCGACGAGACCCGAGGTGCGTGGCGACTCTGGGCCCCGTGAGGAGCAGAGAGGCGGAGCCGTGGCATCCGGTCTCTGGTCGTTGTCCGAGGGCGGGCGGGTGGCCGGGAGCCCTCCGCTGCGCGTCCCGCGCGAGTAACGCCCCCTTACCGCTCCGCGGGGTCCGGCCTTAGCTCGGCCCCGCACCCCCGTGGCCCACCTTTGGCAGCCTCACCCCAGAGGCCAGGGCTCCCCTGCCCCACCTAGCGCCCTCCGCGACGCCCCACAGCTGCTTTTGCGCAGCCCCTCGCATTCCCCCGGGGCCCCTTCGCTGGTCACGGGCCCATCCCTTGCGCGGCGTTTGGTTGCCGTGTCGCTCTCTAGCCGCCCCCTGGCCCAAAGCACGGACAGCACCCTCCTGAGCATCCTCTTGCTGTGGGTGGAGCTGGGCTGGGGGGCCGAGCTGGGGCCCCGGGGCAGCGCCGGTGGGCGGTGGGGCTGAGGAGCAGTGATGACTTTGAGTGGTCTGGGCTGAAGCCCGCCCGGTTGCCTTCCGGGGAGTTGTGAGATAACTTTTGGAGTTTGGGAGGGAAACGTTAGCCCGGAAGGATGCGCCTGTGGCGGAGCGCGGGTTCGGTCCCGGTGCCAGGTGCCCATCGGACACGCGCCCCGGGGCTCTGGACGGTTGGGGAGGGGGGCACCGGTGGCTCGCCCGCCGGGGAGAAGTGGGGCGGGAGGGCGCGGCCCTCCTTGCGTGTGTGTGTGTGGCGGGGGGGCGGAGAGGGGAGTTCCAACTCTCCCGAGGAGCTGCAGGGCGGCCACTGTGCTCTCGCGGCGTGACCTGGTCTAGGGACCAGTGGTGCCTTTAAGGAACAGCGGTCTTGCTTTTTCCACCTGACTAGTGGTTGTGCTGCATCCTGGTGTAAATCGCCAAATCGCCAGAGAGCGAGCAGGCGAATTTAATAGATTTTGCACCTTGAGGTTATACATAGCTTTGAGGTCTGTAATTTGCCCCCTTCTCCGGCCCCCAAACGTTTGGCCAGCACCGGTAGTTACAAATCCCCGTTTAAGACTATTGATGTTTTTAAGGGTTGTAAAACATTTGTCATTCATTACCAAGTGTGATTATAATTTGAAATTAGCTTTTATGAATTATGTGTTAAGGTGACTTTAGGATATCTCTGGAAAGTGAGTGGATCTGTTAGTAGGGGGAAGGTAAGGCAGGGAAAGTGGATACTTTGATCATATGATTTACAAAATTATCAGGGATAGTTTTCTTTACCAAAACAACTGCGGATGCTGCTGCATTTTTAAGGCTCCCAGAGCTATTCATGTTTCTGTTTTGGGGAAACAGTATTATAAGATGTATATCATTTATGGAATACAACTTCCTATGACAAGCAATTGTATTATAACAATAGTTCATAGATTCATTTGATTCTTTTCAAAAGCAGTGCTTGGGAATGTTCTTCAGTAATCACTATTTTGCCTTTCTTGCCATTCTTTTTCTTAGGTACTCATTAAATAATGTATTTCCAGGGATGAATTTTTTTTTCAGTCTTTGGTTTTGTATATTTAATGGGAGGAAGGTGAAAATAAGCTTTTGGAAAAAAGTCCAGTTGGGACTTTGAGAAAGGAGTGAATTTATGAGCACTCACCTGATGCTTTGTATTTGTTTGGCTATAGTTTTATCCATAGTCTTCAAAACAATCTGAAAGATCTTTTCAAAAACTTAAACACATTTAAAACAGCTTTGGAACTTTTGAATGGATAGCATATATATCACACAACCTTATAAGCCTAAGGGTGTGTACCTGTTTCCTTTAGAGAACCTGATTTGTTTTGAAATTGTTTGGAAAAAAAAGATTAATGTAACTGAACTACATTATGTGTGAGGTTGCTTTAAAGCTAATGGTGTCATGATATTTACAAAAATCATTGGAGTCAGTCTTAAAGAGGTGGTATCAGTTTTTCTCATGAGGCAACTGGTCAGTCTTTTTGTTTCAATCAGTACATCTTTTTGAAGTGCCTGTGCTGTCTGTAGTATGGAATTTAGTTCAAGGTGCATTTACTTAGAGGCTGTGAATGTTGGCTTCTGGATGTTTAAGGCTGCCCATCAGTAATTTATTCCTGAAAATTTCCAAGTTATAGCTAAGAAAATCAATATGAATGTAAAACAAGTAGTTATTTTATTTCAAGGGCAAATTCAGGGAATCGGTGTTTTGTTTATAATTCTCTAAACAAAATTCTGGGTGTAACTGTGAATTATTTCTTACTTGGGTTGAAAGCTATACATTTTTATGAGATTATTTTCTAGGTCAGACAGATAAACATATGGATTAGGCTTGGGAAGAAAAATGAATTATTGGTATAAATTGAAATCTCTATGTGCTCTGGAGATTGAGGTTTTTTTTTTTTAATGCTAAACAACTTTGCTTCTATGACCAAGTAAGTAGTTTAGTTTGTAACTAAATATTAACTGACTCATAATTTAGAGCACTTTCTTTTTTCAAAATGTTTCAAAAATCTCTGAGCTAAAAAATAGTAAGGGTTATGGTGGCCAGCTATAAGCCAGATGTGACTCTCATTTTCTTTTGGGTTTGTTCCTTTTTAGCTGCCTGCCTGTTCCCCCCAGATGCTTCCTATCTCCCCTCTTCCTGCCCCCGTTCCCTTTGCTGTTGGTGTCTGTTTCCGCATCAGTGAAATGGTCAGGGTAATCCTGCGCTGCCTCACCGAGAAATAATTGATGATAGTGAAGTGCCTTGAAAAGGCTGAGTAAATACCAAGTCTTTTGAATGAAAATGACGTAGCCCCTTGTTCCATTTAAGGAAAATCCAAATCCCAGTTTTAGTTTGTGCTCTTGGTGGGGTGGGGGCAGAGGGAGGAGGAGGAAAATTTCACTTGAATATTTTATTGTCCCTCTCTTTGGGTTAATAGAAATGATTGTTGTACCTTTAGTAACTGGAACACTGGAGGATGCAAGGGATCCTCTGCTATTTGAGTTATTAGTTGCCTCTAAGTCTTTTTTTTTTTTTTTGCCAGGTTACCCTTTCCGCTCCCCTTTTCCCCTTTATGCCGGCTCTATTCTGGTTCCAGCTGTGAATGGAAATCTGAGGTCATTTTCTCTTTTAGTTCACCTCTCTGGGAGTTTCATTGTCTCCTCATAGTCATATTCCTGGTTTTTAGGATACACAAGATATGAACAAAGTGAGCTCTGCCAGCCATCAGTGTTAGAGCTGTGAGGCTGTGGTTGTGAATATAGGTCTGGCATTGCCAGGAGATGTTTTGTAGCTTGGAGTGAGCAAATCAAGCACCCCTAAGAATTTTAAGAACATTATTGATGTCTGAAAATTACTACATAATATCTTAGGATTTGAAGTGGTAGTTAATTTCAGGAACCAAAAACCTGGAAATTTTGAAAATGGCTGATGTTGATGATTTTGAAAGAAAAAGTTCACCCTTCCCTGGGTTGGGGTCTTAATATTTGTGATCCTTTTGTCTTAGGGAAATAGTTGAAAGAAACCACTGCTGTTTATCTTAGGTTAGAATGGGTTGGTATAATTTAGTGGTAAGTGTTCCAAGGCTCTAACTAGTTTGGGCTTTGGTTACTCGAAGTATAGAGATGCCTTTACTATAGTGATAACATCTCATTTTAAAAAAGATACAGAGGTGATGGTTCTTAAAGCCGGATAACTTAAAAAAAAATTTTAGAAGCCATCCAAGATTTGGAATGTGCATATATATATTCTTTGCTTTTTATGAGTAAGGCATTTTTGCTTGTTTTGTCTTTATGTTGTCTAAGTAAACCTTGGCCACCTTGGAAATAATAATAGGAGTGATTTTTATGCTAAATGGTTTCTACTAAACATATATCCCTAAACCTTCCCCTACTTTCATTTTTTGGGCATGTGGTGGAAAGGTTTTGACGTAAAAAATGAGGATATCTTGTTGCGTGAAAAGTGAAATATTTGAGAATCCTTTAAGCAGTTTATATGATGGTGCTGTTCCATTTAATTTCATACTCATCTCCCTAAGCTAGATGAATTTCTTATTTAACCAAGGAGAAAAAAAAAAAAGAATAAGCTTTTTTTATGAGTAAAGAGCTGGGAAGCATTTGAAGATAGCATTTGACTACCTACTACTTGTGACCTTTGTTTATGGCTGTGGCTCTGCCCCTTCCTAAGTTTATAGGAGCAAATTGTTGTAAGAGCGGAAAGAGAGTGCCCACCTTTTGTGGTAATGTGCCATTGTAAACTTCAGAAGGGGCAGATATATTGCAATTCTAGGGCATACCTTTAGGATACTTTCTTTTCTCAGGGAAAAGTTGGTGGGACTCTCTTTGCTTTTTGTCTTTAGAATACATATTTGATTTTTCTCACCCTCCGTTTCTCATAAGGATTAACTGGTGCAGAATTCCAGTCATAAACAGCTTCATTTGCTTGGTATGTACCTTGTAACTTTGACATGATCTTTTAAATTTAGTATGTGTATTGAGAGAGTTCTTATTTTCTTTATCATTTGGTCACTTTTCTCACCTTTCATCATTCTTAGTTTAAGATTTTGGTTATATATTTAAAGTTGTGATTGAATCACATGTGTTTTTTCTGTTATCTTGCTTCTCTGTACAGTTGTAAACATGTGCTTTTTGCTGTGAAACTGTTGTCTTTTTTCTTCCATTTGAAAGATTTAAAGTATTATTTGGAGTATTTCTCAATATACTTTAATGTTATTTGAAAAATATGATCAGTATTATCTTTATTTTTTATTGATTTGGTAGAGCTTCATAAATCTGTTCAAATGAAACACATTATCTTAGGTAGTTATTAAAAGAATTAAAATGCAGTACTCTATACTGGTAAGTACCTTTAAATATTGCTTTGTTTTAGATTAGAAACTCTGATTTGAGATTTTTTGGGGTTGAGATTTTGAGAGGTTCTAGAAATGCTTAAATGAATAATTTACTGACACCTGCCTCACGTTTTAAGTGTTGTCAGGGATGTTTAGTTTTCTGGTCACTTCAGACTGTGGTTTATTGCA